AAAACTTTTCCGTTAGTATTTTTTGAATTTCGGTGTGTGGTACAAAAAATAAAATAAAATAAAACAGTTGCATAAAACAAGGCACATGGATTCTTATTACCTGGGAGGTCCAACTTCAAGTAGTTGAGCATAGCACAGAGAAGGTCAAAGGTCAAACAAAACTTACGCTGGGACTATAATAATATAGCGAGCAGTATATAATAAATAGTATATTTAGTGGTGTTTTGGTGTGTCAACGCATATTCATTCGGACACCAAAGAAGTTAACAAATTATGAGACTAAATGCTTCAACAGATATTATAAAACTGTGGAATAAGCAAAAGTGTAATATTTCATTATTGGTTCCAAAACAAATGTCTGTTTAGGAATGTAATCAGGGTGAAAATGTGTGGTTGGTACATATAAAGGCGTTTTGGCACAAAAAGTTTTAGGTCCATCCAAGCTAAAATGTGCTTTATGTGTAATTGTACAATGTTTACAAACTAAGCAATTATTTAAACCAAGTGTAGTTAAGTAAGTACATTCATGTGTCAATGTCTTGTTCGTGGAATAAGTAAAATCATTCAGTAAATAAAACCAGTCTGATTAATCATACAGCGAATGACAAAATAAAAATCCGAGAGAAGGCGATCGGCGGATGGCAGAGGCAGGCGATATGTATCTGGCAAAACCAACACCATCAAAGATATACAACTGAAAACAAATCAGAACTTAAATAAAAAAATAAAGGTGTAGATTTTCAACCCATTAACAAGAAACAAGAGAAAAAATAGAGTAGGAAATAGGTACAGATTTATTTACAGGAGGGGGATTTAAGTATTTAGTAGCACGATAAGTTGTCAAGAATCTTGTTATTGTTTGGCTCTCCTAAAATCTACGATCAATTTATCAACGATTCGTTGGTTGCCTGGTTGGGTATTGCTTTCTTCCAGATAATGCGAAATCTATTGGTTTTATTCTTTCATCTACATCTCGCATCTCTCACAAAGGGATTCAATTAATGAAGAAATACTTGGCTAACGGGAGAGAGAGAAAGCATTCTTCGTGTCGTCTCTACTATCACATTGTGATGGTTCGGATAATTGTTGGTTGGTTAGCCGTGATGATGCTCAATACGTACGGAATTTCATTCTATTTCATGGGAGACCTCGCACATACATACATATTCTAACTGGGATGAAGTAAGTTGGTGTGGGGCTGGTGTGGTCGTGCTAAACACTTTTATGTGCGAAAGAGAGGCGTAAAAATTTCCAAATTCCGTTTCCTTTCTCTTTTATTTCGTCGTAAAACATGACTTGGCACTCTGGAGACTTCATCGAGTGTAGATTCTGCTCAAGTATGGCTGGGAACAATAAAATTTGTAGGAAATGACAACCATCCTTCTCCTATTGCTTGCCACCCCAGACACAGAAAGAGAAAGGAGATATTGCCAAACCAACCATCACATTACATTAGGCAAAGAAAAGGCGAAGAAGAGATCAACTAACTATCCCTGCTGCCTGGACTGACTCTGTCCGGCTTTTTTCCTCAGCGAAAACTTTCCCCGGGTGGACTCGTATAAAAATGTGGAGGTCTCTCTCTCAAAATTGATACGTAACAGAGTCAAGGGTTAAAGTTCAGCCTCATGAAGGAATCAACACACAAATAAATGGGTGAAAAGAAGCCCTCTCCACCAAACCAACGAGTAGAGAATGATACACAAAAAAGTTTTGGTCAACGAACGAACGACGTTGCCAGAAAACTGACAAAACTTCCGTACACTCAAAGCCAAGATCAACCAACCAACCAACACGTGCACGTATGTATGTATGCAAGTTATATTTGTCTACCAACTTTCTCCAACTGCTCGGGATCATATAGGAAGAGATCATTCAATCGGAAATTATAGGAATTTTGATGAGGTTGCAAAGTCAAATACAAATAAAATGTTCCCAACTTTATTTTATTTGCTCTTGTGATGATAAAATTTTACTTTCACTCGACAGACTATTTATCCTCGGTACATACGTACATAACTTGCAGCCTTTATTTGTCTAGTCTAAATACGACATTTTATATGCAGAATGGCAAAACAGTTGGCGAGTAAGTAAGTAAACTATCTCGTAAATACATAAATTTAGGAGAAAGCCAACAACCCACAAGTCCCAAACCGAGTAAAACTCTTTACAGCTCAGGCAGACAACTATAGGTGGATTAGGTTTTAATAACGATGTCAAGAGGAGAAATAGACGGGGAAGAAAGAAAGAAAGAAAAAAAGAAGAGCTTTTTGCTAATTGACACATAGAAAGTCAAGACTATTACTTCGACTTACCCACCAGCATACACGGCTTGAATATTGATACGCGTGATTGAGAGAGAGAGAAGTACATAAAAGCGTGTTTGTTTCAGCTTGATTGGCTTGGTTCTGATTTCAATGACTGACTCAATGAATGAATGAATGCGAATGAAGGGAAGTTGACGATAAAAGCGATTTAATTGTTAGTTTAAATAATCCATGTCCAGAGCATTCACTAGTAAAAATATTATTGGCTTGCTTGCTTAGTGGCACTGTAATAATGAGAATACTTCACTTTGAGTGTGTAGCTGCAGCACGAACGAACAATCAAGTAGAGGCAGTAGTTGAATAGAGAGAGATTCTAATAAAAATATAAATACTTACTTGCACGGCACAGTACATTAAATAGTGTGGCTTAATAATTATTTGTCAACTCATTCAGTACGAAAAGGGTATATTTTTTGCAAGTGGCACGATTTAGATAATGGACGAGACGAAAATCAGAAGGCACAGTCAGAGCGGATTTGTCAGATTTTTTAATGCTAGTTTAATTACGGACAATGGTCGCGCGTTATAAATAGACACACACAGTCGCATATGACGTGTTATTTTATTAATTGGATATCATGGCAGTCAGGCAGCAGGATGAGGAAGAAGGGAGAAAGGCGACTTTCTCCAATTCGTATGAATTTCAAGGTAGCCAAAAATGACCAACTTGGTGAAAGTAAAAATGGCAAAAAACACTACTAATTATTACTACGAGTGAATAACTATTTTCGTGCGTGCAGTGTGTGACGGGCGGTGGTGCATCATCATTCAGTCAGAGTTTCCAACATTTTGTGTATAAAAATGTCAACCTCTTCGGCGTACGTACATGGACAATAACATTTTGCACTACACATCTAGTAAATATTTAAAAAGACATGAGCAGAGTTTTTGTGAAGGATAAAGTGGTTATTTGAGGGACGAGACGAAAACAAGTCTATTTTGAAGTCAGCGAGTATAGGTGTAGTAGCAAATTGAGATATTTATAGAGATGACTTTCTACTTGTTAAGTGTTGAAATGTGTAGCTGCAAATTTAAACTAGCAAAATCCAAAAACCACAAATGGGGACGTGACATAACAAATGGCGAAATGGTGTAAGGCTGTCAGTAATAAAAAATGAGGGAAAGTATGTGCATACATACAAGCCGTGAGTCTACTCAGGTGAGGAGGATAATAGTATCACCACCTCAGAATTGATACATGGGTTAGGCTGGAAATTAGTTCAACTCAGGATCAGTCAAGTGGTGGGTAAATATCCGGGATTTTGTTCTGACTGACGTGTCAACCCAAGGAAGACAAATGAACTGACAATGGAACGGTGAAAGTTAAGTTGCTTATCGTCAGCGGGCATGTATTGAGCTCGCATACTTTGAAATATTTACCCTGTACTTATAAGCTTGAAAACTTAATACATAAACCCGAAACTGTCACGTATGTGCACATACATTTCTTATATTCAGACCCAATAAGGCGACAAATCTTAAATTGATAGAAAGATGATAACACAAATTATTTAAAGAAAGCTGAAAAAACTGAGTGAAAATACAGGCAATCTTTTGTGTGGGCACGGTGTGTGTCATATCAAAAGTGCGGAGATACGTAATTCTCCCAAAACTCAAGCAAACCTACAGATTTAATAAAGCAAAGTGTAATTCTTGGTTTCAAATTCCACCAGGTTTGGTTTGATGGTACTAGAAATATTGGTGTGTCAGGTTGCAATTCGCAGTGGGAATAAGTAACATTGGTTCCAGCGTTAGTCGTCGTTATCACATTTATATTGAGGAATGCATCTTCTTGCTTCGTGTAGTCGTCGTCTCATCCTCAATCATCATCGGACCCAAGCCTGACAACGTATGGAGACAGGCGCAGGATTTGGTGAAAACCATTTCAGGGAATTGCGGGGGTTGGTTGTGGTAGGAGAACGAACGCGAGAAGTGATTATCTCCGTTAATCGCTGCAAAATCCATCAGTAGTTTGCATGCAAAAAAACTTGTGTGTATGTAACTACACCCACCCGCCCATACGTAACAGATTGCATAAGAAGAGGGGGGATGAGGGGAATAAAGTATTTTGCAAATTGCGAGTTCACACAGCGCTGATACCAGACTTTATATATAAGTAGCAGCACACTATACAGCAATAATAAGTAATATGGTAATATATGCTATGCTTTGCTTGCCCAAACCCACAAGATATGCAGAAACAAAATAACGCACAAAATAAAATGTAGTGAAACACTTTGGCATGGCGGGATTAATAATGATAAAGTGGTCCAATTAATCGGCACCCTCACAGAAGTAAAGATCTGTAGGTGGACATAGCGTCGCGGTTGTTGTTGGGGTGTAGCAGTTTTTATTATTTTTTGTCGCTTGTTAATTCAAGTATTTATGTAGTAGCTTAATGTGATATGAAAAAAAAATCAGCATGTCCATTTCAAAACGTCAGTATACATAAATATATATTCAAAAGTAGTTTTAATATGATTGTTATTATTACGCTTTGGTCACGCTCTGAGATGGTGGAATGGTAATAAATATGAGGGGGTGGGGTATATATAGTTTGTGATGGGTGGTGCATGGTTATTCAGCATTTCGCATGACAATAATAAGAAGAATGGCATTTTGCATTTTGGCGTATGGCATGTATAGCGAATAAACCAACCAACCAAAAGAGGAAGCTTCAATCAACTTGTTAAAATTTACTTTTTATATACATGCTCTCTTATAGCTTAACACTAAAATCTCAGTACACATTTAAAATCATAACTGTAACTCTTACAACAACAACACTCATATTTTGTTGGAATAATCATAATAAAATTCTTAAACTTTTCTCTAAAAACCCACTACGTTTCACAGTATACTACACAAATCTCGTCACTGTTTTTAAAAATATTTCTAATTACGACCATTGATCTCTAAAAGAGGAGTAGTTCAGCTCCATTATTCTTTACACTACGTTCTGGAATTGTTAAAATCTTTCGTCATTTTTTAAAACCTACGACAAATAAAATTCTAAAAATTCTGTCTCTGTCCTCGTATTTATGTAAATATTTAGCATATAACAAGAACACACAAAAAACAAAACTTAAAATTAAAAATAAAATGTGATTTTTTAGTAGTAAAAGACAGCATAAAATCGTACAGACAGATCATCCGTCCGTACCGTACACGTCAAAAGTCTAAACAAGCTATATAGTAATTAATCAGCATTGTAAAAGCATAAGGCTGTAAATACAAATTTCCAAATACAAGTCAAGCAAATCTTCCAGTAAAATAAGCTATAGGAGGAAATTCTATAACCCTAAAAAAGTTACATATTATCCATATCTTTATGTAGCTTAGTAGTCGTATGTTGTATAAATATTTGAATTTGTCATCTTGCATAGCATGGTTTTTTATATAGTACGAATCAGGAACGAGAGAGAGATTCAAGTCGGCAAAAAATGGGTGCTGCATTTAGCCCTCGCTGTCAGGCAGACACCCAATAACGATAACAATTAGTGCAAAAATTTCCAGTGTCAAATTAAAACTGATTTCCATTTTAAATCAGTCAGCGACAATATATGCATATGTGAATATACATATACGTGTCATATGTACGAGAGTTGGCATACAGTCTCATGTGTACTAAATACGTATCATATTTATATAAAAAGCTATGCAAGACGATAATCATAAAATGCTTAGATAACAACATAAAGTCAAAAATCCAAACACAAAATAACTTGACAGTCTAAAATAGCTTATACATAACTCTACAAAAAACTTTGACAGTTATATTATGCTGGCTTTTAGTAGTATTTTTTTATAAAGTATGCCAAAAAGTTGGTTAAATGTTATTAAATATATAGGTAATAATAACGCTATCACAATTATTTTAGAGAAAAGTGCTAAAAAATCAAGCTTTACAGGAGGGTCAAGTCAGATTGAAGAACAATATAATAACTTTTGCACAATACAAATTACTTGCAGTGGCGGAGGCTTATTGGTGTGGTGGCATTGCAGCAGAATTTCAAAAAATTTCATATCTTAACACATTCGTTTACAGGTTTTTGTTTATACATACACAAATATTTTGGTTTTATAAATTCTCAAAGCAGTCAGTTTAGTAGTCGTCAGAGGCTGCCTTGTGGCCGTTTTGTTTTGATTACACACAAGGAGGGAGGGAAGAGGGGGAATAAAGCGGAGATTATATAATGCAAAAAAGATATTTTTGCCAACATCAAAGCATGTTTTTATTATTACGTTATTCTTTTTTGCATATGTGGAAATGGAAGGAGTGAATTTCGGATATTTTATTTAGGAGGAGGTGGATGTGGTGCATTATCGCATTACCATGTTCTTTTTCCTTACTTATCAACTTTCTATACCCAGTTAGAAGTCTTATATGTTTTGTCCTATCACTTTTTCTTTCCTACCCTTGTCTGATGATGTTACATATTCTGGCTAAACTCAAACCTTTTCTCGCCTGAGTAAGATCTTGTAAAAAAAACAATCATAAAAGCAGACAGCTTTATATTTATCGAGTATAAAGCAATTTAGCCGAGATGAGAATGAAGCTGTAAGGAATAAATGTAAATGGTGTTGATAGATAGCAATGAGGGGGCATCATTCCATAGATGTTTTTAATAGGTGGTGGTGGTCAATATCAAACCAGAAGATATGGTCATCGTTGTCCTTACAAATAGATATACGTCGTCGTCACTTCATTGGATACAAGAACGGTCCTCTCATGTTCACAATCCGGCCCAAACGTTGATCAGATCAGAGCGTGAGAAGCAAGTCAGCCAAATAAAATAAATCCGTCCTTTGAATGCAAAATATTTATGTTGCTCTTCTCTCAGAACATGCCAGCCAATTACTTTTTATTAATAGCCAAAAGGATGCAATCAAGTGATAAAGCATAATAATAATAATGACGGGGTAATAAATGCACATTACCAAAAACCACAAAGACAAGACCACTGCATAATAACTGCGTTCCCATTAAACTGCATAAAGCATCAAGTTTAATTGAGATTTAGCACTATCATTTATTAATAGTAAGTATTATGTAAGCAGTAAACACCAAAACAGATAGATAACATATTTAACAAGCTACTTATGTAAACTACAACAATTAAGATGGAACAATAAAACTGGAATAATTGGAATGTGTATTTACAGTCAAGATTTTTTTTCTTATACAGAGATAGAGCTAAGCAGAATTTCGTCATCTTCTCATACATACATACAATTACTACGCATGTAAATAATTTTAGCCAGAGTTTTGTCAATTGTGGTAGGTGAAGGATAAATGGATTAATTAGTGTAGGTAGGAATACAATACAATAATCATTAAACTATAAACAAAGCAAAAACAAAAGTATAATCTACTAAATTGAAATACAAGGGTCACAAACTACAATTATTTTGCGTCAAAAACAAGACCAACAAGAGTACTTTTAATAATTTTGAAAATCTGCCTAACCCAAATAGCCAGTCTTGTTTAACGATATTTAACCTTGTATTTTTAATTTCATAATCCTAAATTATATAATAGAAAGATATTTTAGGCAAACTATTTTTGCCAACCACTCAACGCTTCGTTACTACTGCAGTATGCAAACTATGTAAATAGCTTGAAATGAAAAGCATACAGCTTATTAGCAACAAAATTAGCGCGCATAAAACACGGTTATTTTAACACTTACTGAAACTAATGATAATAATCTGACCTTATCCTATCCTAAGCTTATTAGACCGACGCTTTATAGTCATTTACTCATATATAGTAGTACTTTCACTTTCTATACACTATTCTGTCTGCTACCAATAATTTTCTATGTATGTACTCATTTCAACGTCAAAAATATTACAGTCCTTTTTTGTAACGTTCTTTTAACCTTTCTAACTTGAATTTCTAGGTGGGTCTCATTCTCTTAACGCCTCCCTGCAACCCCCCATTACTCGCCAAAGCTGCGGCCGCGGCCGCTGCAGGATTAAAAAGTTGTTGCGACCCCATCGTCTGAGCGCCAGTCACCACTGGCATGGGACCCCTTCCAATCTGACCATACGCAGCTAAAAGAGCTTGCTGATTTTGCTGAAGGGGAAGTCCCCCCGCAGCTGCAGCGGCCTGATTCGCAAACTGCATCCCCATCAAGTGATTAAACTGAAGATTGGAAGTGGGGATTCCTGCAGCGGCTAACTGATTAAGCTGCGCACTCTGTAGTGCAGCAGCAGCCGCGCCTCCCTGTTGATGACTTGCCATCATATTTGCCCTCTGTTGGGCAGCCAGTTGGGGGAAGGACGCGGCTAACAATGGATTCATGGCAGCTACAGCAGCAAAAGCTGGGTTAAGTTGTCCCTGAGATGCTGCAATACTCTGTTGAAAACTCTGTTGTTGTTGCTGCTGCTGTTGCTGACCTACGGCTGCATTTGCTGCAGCTTGTGCGTTAAACTGACCTTGGAGAGCGGCAGGGTTTGTGGCGAAAGCGGTTAACATTGCCTGATACTGAGCCAAAAACTGTTGCTGCTGTTGGGGTATGCCCCCAGCCTGAATAGAACCTTGTAATGGATTTGCACCAGGGTAACTTGCAGGATTAGGGGGAGGTTGAGGATTTTTATTAGCTTGCAATGCCAACGGGGCCCCAGTGTAATTAATGGCTGCCAGTGCATTATGGTAACTCTGCGCGGCAGCGGCGTAAGCCGAATTGTTCTGTGCAATTACAGCAGCATTGTTTGACAGAGCACCTCCGACAGCGGGACTGAGACCATTCCCTGCGGCGTTATTTGCAGTACGCATTCGTTTGACAGAAGATTCTTTAACATCTTCGTCAACCTCGTTGTTGGAATTATTGACTCCTCCCCCTAAATTATTCCCATCAACGTCGTTATTTTCATCTGAAGAGTCGGGCATACGTTCACGCTTTACGTCATTTCCCAAAGCATTAGAGTCCAGCGTACCGTTAGTTTGTTGCTGATCTTGAGTGCTGGAGGAAATGGGGACTCCTCCCGAAGTGATGGCTGATGCGGCAGACACTGCTGCTTGCGGGACAGTGGCTGTGAAAATAATTGGTGTAAACTAAACTAGTACAGCATGGCCTTAAGCAAAACACCGGTCACAAATTACTACCACAGCTACAAGTTTTTATATAGAAAAACATGGCTTATGTATTATATAAATGTATATATTTTCGAGGCTTGGGAGCGGAAAACGGATCGAAATCCACATGATCCACATGCAAGCAACTTAAAAATCATCATCACGGAGATAATAATAAAAACGAAAAAAAGAGTTTTGGAAACTTACAAGAAACAGGCACGAATGGCTGTTGCAACTGCATCAACTGTTGGTATGCGGCTGCTGAGGGGTTGTTGGCCGGTTGATACACACCACTCTTGTCCGCAGGACGCTTGTAGGTAACCATACCAGGGTAGCTCTATAACACAATAAAGGACGCCCAACAACGTTAGTTACGCAAGTTTGGCGACAATTCGGTGTCGATAAGTTAAGTTCATCCCCAAGCCTTTGGAAATACCTCTTCGATACAATATCCATAATGGATATTATTGTTGGCCCAAAGACTTTGACTTACATCCAGTCTGTCGCCACGTGAAACTTTCTGTTGGAGAACGGTCTGTTGTGGAACGCCGAGAGGGGAAACTCCTCCCGATGGGTCAGACGTCACCAGAGGGACCAGAGGGCCTGTGGCGAAGTATGGATTGTATCCTTGTCCAGTCACGCCAAGATATGGGTTGGCTGCCTGCTTTAAGAAAGTGTTCATATAAGGCTATAATTCCCGAAGGGTGAGGAAGAAAGTAATAATACAAAGTTGTGAATTTCACCAAACCACTAATACGCTAATAGTTTAACTCCACAAAATCATGAAACACTTACAACGGGAGGAACTTGTCCAGGGACGACGGCCTGACCTGGGGCCAAACCCATTTGCTGCACACACGAGTACCAAATTAGATTAGTTTTTTTGCATATCTTTTATGTAAAATTTTACAAGTTCCATACCTGCATCAGTGCATTTTTCAGGGCGAGGTGATTGCGACCATTGATCAATAATTGGTCTTTCAGGTGAAGGGGAGGATGGAAGTATTTGCATGGTGGCTTTTCTCGGTTGCATCGACCCTGTAAACAAAAATAACATGATGAGTGATGATGTCAGTCGACAAGGTATTATTATTATTATTATGATTTTTAGATACTTGAGAAGACTTGAGAGCGAAAAGAAGAGGAAGAAATGCAATTTCTAATATAATTTCATCCATCATTAGGAAATCAATCTCTGTCGTGATCCCAACCAACCCAACTTTAGCTCGAATCCTGAACATGTTAACCTTCTTGTTGGCAATCATCCATCCAACATCAATACTAAAGTAACTACCCAGATACAGAGACGATGAGCCATGTCAAATTGCAAAAAACATAGTACGTTGAAAACTTCATATTTCTTGCTGTCACTCTATGAATAGGATGCATTCACGTCTTAACCAAACCTAAGTCTCTCTCTCACTGCCACCCGTAGGTCGACTCGTGCTGCATATACTCACACATCCCAATTTCCACGATATCTTGCTCTCTTTTTCTAGCGTCTGACAGAATCGGATCTCCTACCTTAATCTTAATCTCATCTTGGTGTAGACGGGAGACGTTTTATGCTTATATATAATATAAAGTTGAGCTGGTATACTCATCCATGCATCTATCCTCTTCCTGCTTCTAGGTAAAATGCAACACAAATGCGACTTGTCCTCGACAATACCAGTGTCCTTCACTTCTAAGGAAGAGAGAGAGAAAAGTTGTTTCTTGTTGAAAGTTCTTATACATACATATCTTTCATGACATCGCATCTCTTCACCCACAGCTACATATACCTCAACTCAACCTACATTTAATAAACAAACGGCAACATCATAACATAACACCCCAAAACCCAGACAAGTCAGAAAAGAAGCTGTGCAAATCCGTCATACGAAATGAACTCTTCATCATCAACTCACGTCTAACAAGTTTCTGCAAAACTATACAAACTTGCAGAAGCACGTCATGCCGTGAAACATGAAGGGCAGGGAAAAACTAACCAGGCTCAAGTACGAAGTTCACTATAATGCAAAAACACACTGCCAAATAACTTTGCTTTCTCGCCTTCGCAAATCAACACTGCTTCTACTTATGCAATTATTTGTACAGTAAATATTGTGCAACATTAATCAAATAGGGAGAGCCGTTCAGGAGAGTAAAATCTACACAACATCCGCTCCTCTTTCGCCTAATAATTCGTAGAATAATCAATCCATGGTAAATATGCTGGAAGGAAGTAAGGAAGCAGACTACATAATTGGATATCCTCCTCCTCCCTCTCGCCCACCGCAAGACGTAGAAATCGTTAAGAAACGACTGCTGCTGGTCAATCATTAATCTTTGAAAGTACACTGCCAAAGGGTAATAATGTCAAACAACAACTGTGTTACTGCACATTTCCACATAAGTATAATTCCAGAGAGAAGCAATCATGACTTGGAAAATGCACAGGGCAGTGATGATAACACTACAAAATTAAAGCATCTTTATTACTCTCCCACCCGAGAGGAAGACTACGCCAGCCCAGGTGCCTACATAATCTTGAGTCTTATTACTTGGTCCACGACGACGACAACAAGTCCTTCCAGATAGTGGTACAATTTTGCCCATTTATCCATTTCACCACTCTTTCCTTCCATTTCGTGCCTCTCTCTCTGACTGTGAGTATAAGCCCTTCATCTAGGTTTGCGTTTGGTTGGTGGAAGAGAACGACGGAAGGAGCTTGCTGTCTACATGGCTTAAGTTATTAGGATTCCTTCCACCGTAAAGGCAGCATAAAATGTATAAGATCGTGATGCAGAGCGATATTATAGAACAGCCAAGCTGGTGGTGTGGTGTGGCACGGTTTGGTTGGAATTATGGCTCGTGGTGTGGCTGAAACTCGCTCTCTCGCTCCCGTGAAACCCGGGTGCGGGTGAGTTTGCTGTATGTGCTCCGTCGCTGACTCGCTTTTCGTTTCCTGAACCCATCATCATTCTCTAAACAAGCAGTTGAGCTCTGATAAACGACTTTTCTCAACTAGGTCCTCTCTCACTACTCTCCTTCTCTCAACCCGCATCCGTAAATATATATATACTTTGAGAACGAGTTGGGACGATTGGATGGAGAATTTGTATAGTTATAGCAGCACCAGGTTTCTTTAAGAAAAAGATGGAAACATGTGCGACTTTCAGAGAGAGAGAGAGAGATGTGATTTATACTACCAACCTGTCACACTGACTCTCCTTCCCCTTCTTCTCGCTTCTCTCTCGAGTTTTCAACTTTACTTTTCAAGCCTGTATATATCTCAGGACCAAAAAAATGTCGCGTTTTTGCTGGTCAAAATTCTACTATCATACGTACACCGGCAAAAACACAACCATGTCAGATAAACCTATTGGGTTTCTCAAGTGGAAAGAGTCACTAATACTGCTCGCTCCTGGAATGTATAACATTTCTTCTGGGCGAAAGAAATGGAAAAATACTTTACAACAATACATTTATATATGTACGAGACGAGTGTCGTTCTATACGTTTCTTTCCATTTCCATTACGTCTGTCTCGCTATCAAGCGTTCTTATCGACACTTTAACCATTATTTCGTTAAGGAAGAGGAGAGGAATGTCGCACGATCCGACAACGACTGCCTCCTCCTCCTCTGCTGAACCCCAACTGGTCGTCGACCAAGGAATGGCATTTCACATCAGGCAAGACGTTGCTAAATAATAATAGGATCTCACTCTTCTTATCCTTGTATCATCATCCGTGATGATGATGACACTAGAAATTCTACACAAAATAGGTTACGTGCAAATCTTCTCCTGAGAGAACGAAACGAACCCCTCCCACCAAACTCCAAACTATTTGACTTTGACACAAGTACAAGTGTTGGGTTGAGCTCGTTACACTATGAACCGTGAAAGAATTTTCACATTTTTCATCCTATCCTCGCTATCTGGGAACATTAGTCATTTTCACTCTCACGTGCTACCTCGCGTTCTTTCTGCTCACTTGTTGGAGATATTTTAACCCCGTGTAACAAATCAAACGGGGAGCTAGAGTAGTATCACTCGGATATTTTACAAACTTATCAGCGTCGTTAGTATCAATTATCACTGGGTCACATACTCCACATTTCGACATCTGGTTTGCAAGTACAATACAGTTATCAGCATACGTATCTTTAGAAGACCGCGTTAATATAGAAAATTGGGTGCAAGGCAGATAACAAAGGGAATAATTAATTTACAAATATGAGCGAATGACTCAACCCAAGTAGCAATAACTGCAAAAATGACGACGTAAGCCAATTTCCAGAAGATAGCTGATGAATAATAAAACTACCCACCAAATCACATTAAATGTCTAGCCAGACAAGAATGAAATAAAGTCTTTGTAATGAATTGTGATAAAAGACAAAACAGCTCATTAAGCAATTTAGCACATATCGTAAAAACAAACAAACACAGAACCGGGATAAAATTGTCTTTAATTTTATTGACCCAAGTTACAGTTCCCGAACAAAAAAATAAGTGAAACAACTCCAGGGAAAAGTATAAGTAGTCGGAAAAAAGAGGAGAGAGTTATACGTTGTAGCAGGAAAATAAAGTAAAGACAAGTCACAATGTTTCACTACTACGAGATACTAGTTGAAGTTGATGGGGCTGGCGGAATTCGCCAAAAATTGTCAAGAGACATCAAATCTGCTCGTAAATCGGAAAACTTTGTCGTCCTGTGTTCTAATTTTAAGCCTTTGCGTCCTTCCCATCACGCCAAGTTAACAACATCTCTCACTTATTCGTTATTCTATAGCGTACGTATGTAGCAAAGCTTCGTTACGTTCATCGAGTGAGTACCAAAACTAGCTTACACCGAGGCTCAGTCAATAGTTGGTAGACATTTTCTCGTCTCCTAATACAACTTTCTCCATTACCAAAATAAAAGTCCTTTAGCAAAGACAAGAAGAAGGAGGAAAATCGTCTCAAAAAGACCAATTCCACTCCAACGTCTTACATAGCAGTCTGCCTTTGGGACTACCGCCTACGACAAAGACGCGAAAAGGTTTTCCACCAAAAATAAATTTTGCTCCTCCAATCTTTCAGTAAGCTCGAAATTATTATTATGATTTGAAGCGGTCATTAAAAATATTAATGCGAAACCCCCAACGGCTGACATTAATTGCAAGAATTAAATATTCTACTGTGCAATGCTGTAGTGCTTGCCTGCCATTATTATTGGTGAGACATAAAAGGAACGTGCCCTACGTACAAATGATCGAGCCTTGACCGGAGGAGAAACAGATGACATTATATTATAATCCCACTCGAGACCAACGCCACATAAATCCGCCGACGCGATATATATAAAAATACACAGGAAAAAAGAGAACCATTCCTCACAAATATATATCTCAACTTCTTCCTTTCCGACCGACCAACCAACCAAACAGACATTTCTCATAAAAGAACCATATCCACGAGAGAAATTCTCAAAGACATGTCATGAAATAAAATGAACATTTCACCACTCACTCCTTCGTCGCCGTTTCACTCTTTCTCCTGCTCCAGCTAACTACCCGCAACTAAACCGGACGGGCATGCGATTGAGTTTGAGTTCACTAACTAGCAAAAGTAAAACAAATGTCTTGTCTCACGAACAAAACTTGCGATGAAGAAAATGTCGGCGAATCAGCTCTGTTGCACTGCTGGCCAATGTAATTCACTAGTTCTACTTCAGTAATTCCTAATTCCTCCTCCATTCCTGTACAGTCCGGAAACAAAACCCACTCCAAAAATAAGAGAAAGTAAGTGCTACTGCTTTTCCAACAACGCAACACAATCCACCAACTGATTCCACAACTCTGCAAAATACAATTGAGGACGAGAACACAACAACAAGAGAGAGAGTGAGAGAGAAAGTTCATTACACAATTTCATCCAAGTTTACGACGAGAGCAAACTAATTCTCCGCTTTTCGTAAAAGAGAAAGCTGACGATTCATACTCAACAAGGAGGAGGAGGAGGAGTGGATGGATGGTTATATGCATTATATAATGTGGGAGTGGTGGT